AGTTGAAGATCAATCTCCTTGTGAAGGATGTCAATGGGGCAAATCTCATTGCGCTCCATTCCCCACATCTTACAAACATGCTACCAAACCTCTCGAGTTGGTTCATACTGACAAAGATGGTCCTATGTGTACCCAAGCAGTTAATGGTGGTTTCAAGTACTTCATTTTGTTCCTGGATGACTACACTAGTCTAGGACGAGCCTATTACCTTTGTCATAAGTCTGAGTCGCTCCAAGCATTCGAGGACTTTAAGGCATGGGCTGAGAATGGTACTGGTCATAAACTCATCAATGTACACTCGGATTGAGGGGGAATATACTTCTGATGCTTTTACGGCCTGTCTTAAATTCTATGGAATAGTTCACCAAAAGACGGTAGCACACTCGCCTCAGCAAAATGGGTGAGCTGAACACTGGAATCACACGATCATGGAAAAGGCTATGGCTATGCTTCACCACGCTGGTCTTAGTCATGGTTTTTGGCAACTTGCGGTTGATACCGCTGTCCATATTTACAATCGCCAGCCTATGCAACACCTTAAATGGCAATGCCCAATAACTCTCTGGGATGGCACGATCCCGGATATTTCATACTTCAGAGTATTCGGTTGCAAGGCATTTGTGCATGTGCCAAAGGAATGAAGACAAGGGAAACTCAACAAAAAGGCTGTTGAGATGATCTTCGTTGGATATGAGCAAGGATCCAAGGGCTACAAGTTCTGGGATACCTCCAGTTGACGGATTGTTGTGTCTCATGATGTGACCTTTGATGAATATTCCTTTCTGGCATGTAAAGATTTGGCCAATCCAAAGACTCTGGGGCCACCACTTTTCAATCCTGTAGACTCTGATTCTGAGGATGATGACGAGGAACAGATCAAAATTCCACTTCCTCTACTGGTAGAGAGCGAAGATGTTCAAGAGGACATTGACAAACCGGAACCAGTGGGAGAACCTGACCATCAGCTCCCTGAACCTGCACAATGTCCAGAACCTGTTCAGCCTCCTCAGCCTGAATATTCTCGTTCTAGATGTGAGAATGCTGGGAGAAATCCAAACAGGAATAAGGACAATGTTTATGGTGATGAGCCTCCGGCTCAGATCGACCGTCGTACTGATACTCATGGAGATCAGCATGCGGAAGTGTTTATGATACTGCAGGCTCTCAAGGAAGCTAGCTACTCTGAGTCGGTTCCTACCTTGTGTTCAGACACAAGGAAATCTCCTGAGTGGGACTGTCGTGGTAGGCATGGCTAAGCCCTATTTTTGCCTATATTTTTACTATTTTATCTCGCGTTACAATGGACTTGTACTATACACTCGATGAAGACTTTGCCTGGAATGGCATTCTGACTAGTCATGTGAGGTAACCACATACTAGAGTTTCTTTTGTAGCACATGACTCACTGACTCATATCCCGAGACCAGAGTTATGGTAGATCGTGTCATCTCGCACCATTGGTAGATAGCCAATAGCGTAAGTACCTCATGCATGTGATGGCTGTCTGGTGTGGGAGCCCTGCCCTAAACCTCAGGGGTATAAGTAGAGTAGCTCATAGTCCTAGCTCTTCATCTTGTCCTCTTGAAGAGCTGGGTAAGTTCCCTTGTACTGATTACTAAGATAGTAATCTAACTTGAAGAGCTAGTGATTCTAATCCTAGTCCGCTGAACATCAACTCCAAGTCTGTTAAGCCTTGAGGGTGAGTATCAACTCACTCAACTCTGTCTGTACAGGGTAATTCCTGGTGAGACCTTTCTCGCTTTCTATGTGCGCGTCGACCTAGTTCCATGACAGGGACCACTGGCATGCCACTGAAGGCTCTGAAATGAAGTCTCATGAGCAGAATGGCACCTGGATCTTGGTTCCCCGTCCCAAGAACAGGAAGATAGTCAAGAATAGATGGGTGTATGCGTGAAAGCATGATGGCCGGTACAAGGCTTGGTTAGTAGTGAAAGGCTTCACTCAGGTTCTGGGGTGAAGACTACCATGAGACTTTCTCTCCAGTCGCTCATTTTGAGTCTTTGAGATATATGTTTGCACATGCTGCACTCGAAGACTGGGAAATGGACTCTATGGATGTCAAGACAGCCTTCCTCAATGGTGAACTCGAAGAGGAGATTTACATGGAACAGCCCGAAGGCTGGGTAGTTCCAGGCAAGGAGGACTGGGTCTGCCTCCTCAAGAAGGCCATCTATGGTCTTAAGCAAGTGTCTCGTCAATGGAATGCTAAGATCCACCAAACTCTTCTAAACCAAGGGTTCACACAGACATATTCGGATGCTGGTGTTTACGTTTACTCCAGCAAAACCAATGGTCAAGTCTGTTATGTAGTACTCTATGTAGACAACTTATTACTCCTTGGAGATTCTAAACCATTCATCGAACAAATAAAGAATCATCTCAAGAAGGAGTATCAGATGACCAACCTTGGACCAGCAGAACGTTTTTAGGACTTAGAATTTGTTGTAATTGTCAAAAGCCACAGATCTTAGTTGATCAATCTGAATATGTTCAGACCATTTTGGAGAGGTTCCAAATGTCTAACTGCAAACCTGCAAAGACACCTCTACCTGCTGGTTCAGTTTTGGAGAAAAACATGGAAACCGCAACGGATGTGTTCCATACAGAGTACCAGAGCATCATTGGTAGCATCATGTATGCCATGCTTGGTACACAGCCTGATCTCGCTTTTTCCATAATGAGACTCACCAAGTTTGCCTCAAACCTGTCAAAGCAACACATGTGCCTCACACAATATGTCTTGCACTACCTTAGGGGAACTAAAGACTATGCGCTTTGTTACGACGGAGATTCCAACTCCGGGTTAATTGCCTATTCAGACTCGGACTGGGCAGAAGATCACAACGATAGGCATTCCACAAGTGGCTTTGTATTTCTCATGGCCAATTGTGTCATTTCTTGGGTTTCCAGATGACAACCCACCATTTCCCTCTCTTCAACAGAAGCAGAGTATAAGGCTGCCTCTGATGCATGCCGTCAAATGGCCTGGCTTTGGAACTTTGGACAAGAGCTCAGTGACAACATGACCGCTCCTACTCCCTTGTGTCTGGATAACCAAGGAAGCATTTTCCTTGCAGTTAATCCTGCCATGGACCACCACACAAAACACATCAAAATTCGGTATCACTTCATCTGAGAATTTTACAAGAAGGGTGAAACCAACATTTTCTTTGTTGCGAGTGAAGACCAGCTTGCAGATGCGTTGACCAAGAACGTTCCCCTCTCTGGAATAGAGAAACTTTGAATGTCAACTGGCATGGTCATAGTGTCTTGAACAAGTGGGAGTGTTGAACTTCTACCATTTCAGGCATTATCTTATCAGGCTTGCCTGATATGGACTTATCTAGTGTTCTGCAACACTACTTACCTTACTGTAGCTTACATTCCTTTTTCACTCATATCTTATCTACAGGACTCATTATCTCTTGTCCTGACTCAGTAGATTAGATAACAGACCTTTGGGCCTCTGCTCCTTTAGCATCTGATATTACTGGTTACCAGGAGTTCCGGCCTTCCGTCTTACTAATGCTTACTCATGTAGTTTACGCTGATGACTCAGGATGACTCAACTATCAGGTGATGGTCTCACACATGTATATATACTGGGCTGTGATGCCCGTTAATATATCATTCCTTCCTCTGCTCTCCTGTGTGCCTAACGGGACTCCCTCTAGCAGTTCCCCTCACAGGTTTGTTCACTAGCCTTACAGCCACTCTCATTCACTCCTTTCAACAGAAAGTTGAAGTCTTCTACATAAGCACAGAGGAAAATCTGGCAGATCTATTCACTAAGAACTTAGGTCGTATCAAATTCCTCAAGTTCAGAGGAATGCTCAGACTTTGGTTCTATGACTGAGTCCAGCATAGTCGGCTGCACTATGCACCATGAATCCTTGCGTGCATCTGTCGCTGCACTTAGCAAGGGGGAGTGTTGAACAATAGAGAGTGCCTAATAAGGCAGCCAAGTTCACACACCGGCACTCCAGGTAACAGGAGTATCACATGCAGTGTAGATAGAATCACATGCATCGGGATTGGTATTAGTCAGGTACTATACAGTAGCTTAGGCATATGGTCTCCTACATGTATATAAGGACCTCTGTAGCGTAGCTCAATCCCAAGTCACCTACAAGCAACTTTGTGTGCATCAAGCCTCACAGCAACCCAACCAAGTAAGACAGTGTCCCGCTACACTGCGTAAGATAGCCTGCTCATCAGTGATGGTCTCCCCACATGTATATATACTGGGCTCAGATGCCCTCTAATGTATTGTTCCTTCCTGCTCTCTCCCATGTGCCTAGTGGGCTCCTCCCTTGAGCAGATACCCTCAGGTTCATTCACTGCCTTTATAGCCACTTCCACCTCACTCCTTCAACACAAATGGCTTACACTCATACTTCTTATGCCTCATGTAGTATGGGCATTTGCAGAGTATGTGATATTGGGTTTCTATGTACCCATCCCATAGACAATGTGGACATTTGTCTGATTCACCTGGCTTTAGAAGCTTGAATTGCTTCTTAAATTCTCTGCATGGGAAATTCTCAGTGATAACCTGCATGAATCAGGCTACCTCCTTGTTATGAATCTTAGTGGGGAACATAAGTTCCTCATAAGTTCTGTCCTCACTGTCTGAGTTTTTGTATGCATTGAAGTTTCAAACACAAATAAGTACTAGTGCCATGAATGGCTCAATGCCTCCTCCTTTCTTGACCTCTCATACCACTGCCTTGGGTCACTAGTAAGTACATACTAGCTTCAAGTTTGGCATCTGTGCCACTGGCATGGACTTGCTTTATAGACTCAACTGGTGCTGGTAGACTGAAGAAGTTAAAAACCTAGTATAATTATGCTTGTAGGCTGGCTGGATACACAGTGACCATGACAATGGCATTCCAGGATGCTCAATGTAAGCTAGGGCTTCTGGTGCCTGAAAATGCTATTCAGGCTATCAGAAATGGATCCCCGTCCTTTGTAATGCTTCCGTAGCTCAGTTGGAAGAGCGCAGGTCTCATAGCACATATGAAGGTGACACGCATCCTTTAATCCTGAGGTCGACGGTTCGAACCCGCCCGGGAGCATTTTTAAACAATTTCCTCGCTATGTATCTCGACCATATCGCTTGCATGCAAAAAAGAGGATACATGCCTTTTTACAAGCATAGGATGATATTACACCAGTGCCCAAGAATGATACAGCGAGCACATAGACTATGGGTATGCGGGTATATCACGGTGTTACTTACTACCTCGTATGCGCAGCATTCCAAGGTAGGACCACTGTCACCATCCAACTGCAGTGAGTCTATGCAGGTCCTCGATTGCAAATCCTGCGAGCAGTAAATCATCCTCTCGGCGTCACGGGCTCTTGTCGGATTCCAGACCGCACCAACCTCACTGGTACTTATCCTTATAAATCCATGCGAGGCCGACGTCGCTGACCCCCTGTTTGACCTGGGGCACAGTGAGTATACTCGCGATTGGCTGAGCAGGGTGACACATACCGCGGCACGGTACCACTTGGCCGCCTCCCTCTTGTCTTTCTTGCACCCCTTGCCATTCGCGAGACAAAATGCGAGATCTTGCTGGGCATCTGGGTCTCCCAGCCGTGCGGCGACACGGAAGTAGCTCTAAGTCCTAAGGTCAGCCCACAACCCAGCGCACGATAAGGACGGACATACGACTGCCATCTTCTTGTCTTTCTCCACTCCCCACCCGCGAAAAAAGCTCTGTCCGACCTCATAGATAGCCAGCACAAGCTCGCTCTTTACAGCACCAGAGTCCGATCCAGCCCGCGCTTTCTCGAGGTCCTCCACGGCGACTTCCGCCGCACGTCGCAGCCAGCGGAATCCCGCAGCCTCGCTTTGGGGACACCCCCACCCGTGGCGCTGCGCCAGCCCCCACATGAGCATCCCAACGCCACAGCCGCCATTAATCGTCGCGCTTTTCTCGAAGCACGCTGCCGACTCCGTCAGCCGGTTGGCCTCGTGGTGGACGATACCGAGCTGCAGGTAGTCCTGCGCCGTCTGTGGGTTCTCCAAGTTGGGCTGCGGGGCGGATGGCGGCTTAGCGTGTTGAGAGACAGGTGTAGGTGGCGATTTAGTGTTTTGAGAGGCGGGCGTGGGTGGCGATTTATCGAGGCGCGAAGGGGAGTAATTGGGGGAGAGGTGGGTCGTACAGGGCGAGTCGCTTGATGTGCTTGGTGCTACTGGGGTGGTTGGCGAGGCTATAGGACTGTCCATGGGGTAGTAAGAGTAATGCGAGTACAAGCTGACCGGTGAAGCTGGCCGAAGCGGCCGAGGAGGCGCATTGCTTGGTGATATTGATCTTGACGAGGAGGCCGCAAGAGAAGACCCCGAATGACTGCCCGGTAGTTGGGCCATCGGTGGCGTCGACCGGTTCGCCTGGGACGGCAGCATGGACGACGCAACGCTAGCCACACTACTGGACATGTCCATGGAATGCGAGCTCATACTAGTGGATGGGCGACTGCCATCCGCCAAGCTCTCATGCTGCGAGAGCGGCGAGCGGCCAGCAGACCGCGACGACCCCGCTGTACCGGGCCTTTGCTGATTCCGTTTGTACACCTCGAGTTTCCTGTCCTCCGTGGCTCTGTCCGTGACGAGGGCAACGCGTGGATGTGAGAAATTGACTGAACCCTCCACCGCCGACGGCGTCCTGCCCGCAGGATGCATCTGGGTGATAGGAGGCTGTGACCAGAGGTCGCGCCTCTCATCCGGCCGTCCTGGCTCGTCGGAGACAATCACAGAGGGAATGGTACCCGGTTGGTTGACGAAGAAGTTTGTGTCGCCCGTCCTCCAGGAGTCATGGTACGGATTGCGGTACCTTCCACTACCATCGTCGTAGTCCTGGCTCGCCTCGGAGTACATGCTCTCCACCATTGACTGTCCGCGGTCTCCGTCAGCCCATGACGATGAGCCAAGGTGTTGCGACGCCCCGTCCCACTCGCGCTCCCTGCTCCGGTCCCGCTCAGGGAACGAGTCGTCTTGCGCGCCCCACGACGACGTCGAATGCACGTCGCTCCGATGGCGATCGTAGCCAAACTCCGTGAGCGCGGTGCCCGTGGATGCTGTTCGGAAGCGCGTGTGCAGGATGGGTGAGTACTGCGTCTGCATCGCCGGGTCTCCGGTCGGTCGCGAGGGCGTCGTGTCCAGCGTGGAGAGCTCAGCGCGCCGCGTCGACGTCCGGCGCACCAGTGAGTCGAGAGGTGATGACTTATGCAAGGCCGACGGCGGGTGGTGCATCTTGGAGCCGTGTGAAGTCTATCGTATAAGAGTGTGAATGCGACCGAGCTTCTGAGCTTCGCCTGCTGAGGGGTATACCTTCCGCTAGAGTAGCTCAAGTATGTAGAAAGAGAAGTGCAAGAGCATCGCCCTGCCGTCGCAAATGCAAGCCGTGAACTGTATCATGGCGAACTTGGCAGAGGGGTGCCGCATCACTTGCCGCCCGTCCCCCTTGTTTGTCATCGACTGCATCCAGACATCGCCCAGCGGTCATCTTGCGCCGTGTTATTGTGAATCTGAGCACTGCAGCCAGTCTCGCAATCTGCATCATTGCATCAAAACGGACATCATCCCTACATGCATGAAGACCGACACAGCACTGCCAACAATAGCCTAGTACTAATCTATTAGATGTACTTTTTGCCGTGCTTAACCTCAGCATACGGATCGTACATCCGAGGCCTACCATACCGCGGCTCCGGCGATTCTGCAATGGTACTCAGTGTGATGTACAGCTTGCGGTACAGAAAATACTCACTGAGGACGTCACGATAGATCTTGGACACGGTCTCATCCCAAACCTCACGCCACATATGCGCACCGCCACCCTTGCTCCCATCAAACCCATGCTCGTCCGCAAAGGCGCGGAAGTTGAAACCAAGCCGTTCTGCCTCGGGGATGTTGGGGAGCTTGATAGGCTCTGTGGGTGAGGCTTGAGGGAGTAGCAATACCACATAACGGTGGTAAGGTGTGCCCTGCTGCGGGTGCGGCGGAATGTAGTGGGTATGCGGGTGAGGGATGGCTAGAGGCGATGTAGAGGTGGCGGACAACGGGATGTTCGGGCTTTGAGGAGCAACGTTAGGCAATATCACGGCCGAGCACAGAACCACTTACTGCATCCAGTGCAAGTACGATTGGAACGTCTGGTTGTCCTCGTCGGGAACGTCTGATGGCAAAATGAGCATGCCATCTGTTTGGGAAGGGATCACAACCTACCCAGGTCCACCATCAACAATGTATAGAGTCGTGTATCGGTATGCCATACAGTCGTATATAACGCAGGCGACCTCCACGTCTGTGGATAACACACATAAGGAACAGGGATATTGACTTCAAAAGCAGAGTGACCATACCTGTTCCGGCAGAAGATACATTCCCGGGTCGACCTTCTGGTAGCGTCGCTTCACGCGACTCCGACGGTACACGTCCTTTGGAGGCGCCTCCGGAAAGTTGAGACGCAAGTCAATGGTCGGGTGCAAATCCGGAAGCAGGTCCGGGACGACGTGCATTTGGTGGATACGTTCCATCTGCAGACATGAGGTCAGTGGTCTTGTATGGTTACGAATACAAGTCGCCCTGCGTTAGAGTGACGCCTGCTTATGGCAAATTGCATATGCAAGCGTATTGCGCCGCAGTGGATGCCATGCCCTATGGGTAACTCTCCAAAACAGCATGAAGAAACGCACCAGCAAGTCTAATGCACCATCTTCTCTCCACCTCTTCTCAGTCAAGTGCCTGTAGATGGGCAGCTGCATGTCCGCTAGTCCAGCTCAGCACATGCCTTACGTCCACCAACATGAAGCACACTCACCCAGCCCATTCGCGGCCTTCCAGCGCACCTCCGGCAGATTCACCTGGCTCTGAACCTCGAGGATCTTCACCTTCTCCACCAGCGCCTGCTGACGGTCCACGTCTCCCTCCATCTCAGCAGCCTGAAGAGCCTTGCGCACGTCCTCCAATTCCTGGGTCAGCACTTTCGAATCCTCCTCGATGTACTGCAGTGCGAGGTCGTAGACTGGGAGCACACCCTTTCCAATGGGTCTGCTATACTGACGCGGATGCTCCAGAGTAATGCGTGGCCTGTATGTCGTCCAGTTACCAATGGCCGGCTTGCTCTCCGCAGGCGCGACTTCCTCTACCTTGCTTGCGTCCGCAGAGCCCGCTTTGGCCTTTGGAGACGTAGGCTTTGGTGTCGACGTAGCGCTGGGAGGGGGAAGCGGTGACACCGCCGCACTAGTAGGGGCATTCGCCTGCTCCAGAGTTGCATTCCCGCGACATTGCTGGAGCCTTGAGCAAATGCGAGGGAGCCTGCGGATAGCCAGCATGCTCGCCAATGAAGCAGTTAGCGCGACAGAGCGCGACGCGCTCCTGGATTTACCGCGCAAATTATTGGATTACATAAGCAGAATATACCTCCCCTCTGACGCCGGCCTTCGCTCTTTCCCGTCGTCACTTGTGCAATGGGAAACGTTACGAAAGTTCAAACGTTCATCGACATCTCTTACGTTGATTTGATTGCTTTATTGCAGAAGAGACTATTGTACAGGTACGTGGAATAATCATCACCAGACTAATGCTAGCGCTACAGGGACAAATAAGCCGGACAAGAAACGCGTGTGCAGGGAAATCGTAGTCCATGTGTATGTGTGTCCGTTCTATGCAAGATACATGTATATTCTAATAGGCCATCTCGAACTGTCCTGAGGTCCTGGAGATAGAAATGTGAAAGATATGATGGAAGTTGTACGAGAATGGTATGTGCACGACTTCTTGGTTCACGGTCGTGAGCCGGATTGCAAGCATCCAGGTGTTCTAAACATATGCTCTCCTGAGAACAGCTACGCCAGTCTGGCTATTCCCTGGAGCACTTCCGCGACTGTGGAGCAAACCCACTGTCGGAAGTTGTTGAGGCTGTGGGCGTTGCTGAGGACGTTGTTGAGGCTGTGAATACTGTAGAACCAGCGGACGCTGCTGAATTGGCGGTCGCTGCTGAACCGGTAGACGCTGCTGAACAAGCGGGTGCTGTGGACGTTGCTGAACCTGTGGGCACTGCTGAGT